CTCCTGCTCTTCCCTTCTCCTTAGTCCGACCTTTAAGCCGCAGCCGAAACCTTCACCGAACGTGCTCTGTTTTCTCAAAATCTCTCTCTGTTTCTCTCTGTAACTTTAATATGTGAATAGGGTTTCTCCAACCCTTACTACAGACTATAACCATGTATTTATAGGCACAAATATAACCTAAGTCTAATGGTAATCCAAGACGGAAACCCTAATCTAAGTTAAACCCTAGTAGGCCCACAGAACAAAACCTACGTTAAATCTATGTCCGCTACCAATTAATAAAACTAAATTACCTAATTAAAACATTAAATTCACTTAAAGACAATAGAACAAAGAATGCAGTTAAACCAATTTCAAATTAAAATTAAAACATTTAATTCATTTAGCGAAAATAAAACAAAGAATACAATTAATTCCATTTAATTCAAGAAAGTCAAATATCAAATAATAAAATCAAATAATAAATGCAAATAAACAATTAAACAAACAAAATTAATAATGAAACAAATAAAAATGCAATAAAATAAATAATAAAATGCCGAGACTATCCTTTTAAAATTAGGGGTATTATACTTTCATTTTTACTTTTCATTCTAGAATTCATAGGATGTTGAAAACTTAGCGAGAATGTAAAGCTATACTTGGTGGAGTTGGCATCTTTTAGTTTAAACCCAACTCAATTGTGTGCATTTATTTCTGGTTATACTACTGCACTTGTAAGTGTGTTCAATTTTAACACTATTAAGGGACAGTTTTACGGGGTTTAGGTTGGCATACAATCACCAGAAGGGATCACAACTACACGGGGACTTTTAAGAAGATTTAACTAGAGTTTAAGTTAGAAAGATCTCACAAAGGGTTTTTAAGCAATTTCAAATCATTTTCAACTTCCAAACTTTGCTATGCTTTGTATTTTTTTAGATTCTTAGTCCTTTTTGTGCTTAGCTTAGCTCCTTACTTTGAATTTTCCTTTGCTTAACCTCCTTACTCAATTTCACCTAGCCAAATAAGAACAAACACAATAAGTAACCTAAAATAAAATAAAGAAAAGACACGATCAAAAGAGTAATAATCCCTAATTATTTCCAAAACACGGCGTTGCCAATTAAATCCCCGGCAATGGCGCCAAAAACTTGGGGTGTCGCCGTACCAACGCTTAAAGATGTGCAAAAGATAGTAAATGTGCAATGTAGCCAAGTTCTACATTTATAAATGTCACTACTACCATTAACTAAAAATATAGCAAAGGTGAGTAGGGATCGTCCCAAGGGATTAGAGGGCTACTAGTAATGGAAACAATGCTTAGGGTTAGTAAGTCGAGTGATCAAAGGTAGGTTGTTTGGTTGATTAAACTATAATTAAGATTAAACAAGATCAATATAAAACAAGTAATTAAAGGATAGAGAAAACAAGAGAAAAAGATCTTGGGATTTAGAGATCATCATTAAGCATCACCTTTCTCTACACCCAATTCATAATTAATGAGGGGAAGGCATATGTTGCAATAATAGTGAATGTGTGTGATTGTTTCAACAAGCATGGATGACCAATTAAGTGTATATTGTCTAAACAACACAATGAATAGCACAATACATCAAACTAAGCCATTAATCCTTCCTTTAAGTTCACAATCCAAACGCATCACATAATTAGAGAAATATACTACTTGCATTCATAAGTATGGAATATCAAACAATAAGCATGGATTGTCCTCCCATTTAACAACTAAGGTAACTACATCTAAGCTAATGACATGGAAATTAAACTAATTAGACTAAAGAAGAGGCACAATCCATCAAGAAATGAGTATGAACCATCAAATAAACCACAAGAACATTCTATTAAGCACTATGTCTTGACAATCTCTAAATCTATAGCATCAACACACATAGATATGCATCAACAACACAAGAGATAGAGATAAACACATGAACATCTATCCTATCATACATAGATATATGGATAGAATGAAATGATCAATTGGAAGAATTAAACCACACAAATCATTGAATAAACAAGATTTATGTATATAAATATGTCAAAACATGTATTACAACACAAATTCCCTCAAAAATACATAAATCAAGGTAAAGAAAGCATGCTTAGGGCTAACTCTAGCCCCAAGAGGATGTCTAGCCACTCACGAATGGTATCCTCCAACCCTCAAGGGCTATCTCTATGGTAGAAGTGCTTTTCTTCTTGAGGAAGATGCAAAACCTCTCAAGAATGTGTCTCTAGCTCCTCTTCTATTTTCTTCCTCTCTAGGACAATCTCTAATATTGTGTATTTTGTCTTGTGTATCTCCTTTTCATAAAAGTGGCTCATAATCCTTATATAGGTAACTCAAATGTCACACCCAATGGTCTAGGCTCGTACACAAGGGCTCCTCCAATGATTGCACAATGAGATAACTTTTAATGAGCTGGAAATATATATTTTTTCGGATTTGAGAGGATTCGATCGATCGAACCTGTGCTGTGATCGATCGAACATGGCTGAGATCTATCAAACTTTGGCTGGATCGATCCTCCTATGGCGGCGCCTTTTTGGATAAGGACAGATCTGAGATATTTTGGGGAAAGAGACAAAAGTGGTAGGTAGGGTGGTACAACATGATAAGATAGAATCTTTTCGATCGATCTGAGAATTGTTGGATCGATCGAACTTTGTGGGATCTTTGGATAAGGACAACAGAGCTTGGATCCATCTTGGAGAGTCTAGATCGATGAACTTTCGATTGATCGAAGTATTCTTGAGATCGATCGAACCTGGTGAATTTCCATACTTTGCTTCAATCTGCTTCCACTTTGCTCATTTATTCCATCCAGCTTGAGTTAGCTTCTTTGAAACTCTTATTTGGCTGAAATAGCTTATTTTTGGGATAACCACCTAAAAAGGGCAATAATACGAAATTAGTCTAAAACAAAAAAGTAATATAGATAAAGGTCCTAGAATACCTAAGCTTAAGGGGTTTAAATGCACACTTTTCAGCGCTCATCATTTAATAATTTCTTGAAATTATTTGCTGCTATAAGGCTGATTCTATTCGTACAAGTATTAATCATTTATTTATTTTTTTAAATATAATTGGCAGTTGACGACCAAAGAAACACATTTAATTACTTAATATGTAACATTTAATTTTATTGACCTGCAAGGGTAGGACACTAATTTGATCACTATCCTTTCTTTTCTTTTCTCTTCTCTATCTTATCCAAACAAGAATAATTATTTTTTATTTATTTATTTATTTATTTTTTCGCTCCTAGCCATCCAAACATGAATAGAAATTATTACTATATTTTCTTTTCTCTCCTAACTAATACTATCATTTCTTTTCTTTTATTTTCTCTTCTATTTATCCAAACACACCCTTAATCTCTTCTATAGAAAACTAATATTATCCTTTCCTTTCTTTTCTTTTCTCCCCCTATTTATCCAAACACACGCTTAGGGCCTGTTTAAGGGATGCTCCATCTTGTTCTATGCCCTTCCCTACAGTGCAAATGGACACTATTGAGGACACCAACTTGTTTGGTATGGGCTGTATTGTGTCCAACAGTGCTAGAACAATTTCTGTTTTTGGGCCAATTTTCGGAACAAAAAATTCATGTTCCAAAGTGTTCCCAAATTTCAGCCGGCCCACTATTCACTGTAGAAAGGAGAACAACAGCCCAAAGTGCAGGAATTCTGAGAACACATATTTAAGAATCGGTGGAACATTGCCCTAATTGTGAACTTGCCTCCATTTCTATTCTCGTTCTCAACTGTGAACTTGCCCTAATTTCTGAAAAAACACTTTGACTTGCCCCCTCTCTCTCTGCAACTGCAAGCTACAAAATCTACAAGAATCAGAAGTTCGAAACCCACCTCCATCTCTATTCTCGTTCTCAATTTTGAAGTTGCCCCCTCTCTCTGTGCAATTGCAAACTACAAAATCTAGCAGATTTGTGAACTTGCCCCCCCCTCTCTCTTTCAATAACTATCTCAACTCTGCGTTTTCCGGCGAACCCCACCTCTGTGTTTTCCGACAAACCCAAAGCTTCGGCGCGTAAATCTGTCACTCCGGCGAGCTCTTGTGCGCTCTCGTCTGCCGATTCCGACGAACCCCACATCTGCGTTTTTTTAACTGAATTTTTGTTTGATCCAAATTCTCATATCTCTTGCAATTTTTTCACCTGATATATATATATATATATATATATATATATATATATATATATATAATCTGAAATTTAAAATTTTTTTTATAGATAATATAATATATGACTTAAAATTATATAATATAATATATGATAAAATTTTTTTTTCTATATATATATATATATATCAAAATAGCTTGAATCCTCATTTTTTATATTTGTCTATCTGAAATTTAAAAAATTTAAATTTAAATGGAGAAAGAAAATAGTTGTGACTTATTATTAGATAATATAATATATGATTAAATTTGTTTTTCTATTTTTAGTAAAAAGGTACTGAAGAAGCAAATTTTTTATTTACAGGTTTTTATTGGTAATTTTTTAATAAAAAAAACCAACACTCGTACTAATTTCATGCAATGAAATTTATTGGTAATATTTACAGGTTTTTATTGGTAATTTTTTAACAAAGCAAACCCAACAATTTTTTTTGGTAACTTATAATTTTGGAATTTCTCACTTAAAAAAAAAATATATTTCATAAATTTTTTTTTAGTGATTTTGGTTACACTTTTACTCTTCCAAACATGTTTTGTTTTAATATTTCTTAGAACAATATACATTACCAAACATGTTCTATCATGTTTTTGTTCCAAAATTTTCAGAGCAAATTTGGAACACCAAACATGTTTTGTTTTCATTTCAAAACATCACACTATAAAATACTTGTTCTGTTCTAAACTAGAGCAATAGACTACATCACACTACACTTACCAAACGGGCCCTTAATCTTTACGTAGAAATGTCTCAATCATCCTTTTATTTTTTCCTTTCCATTCATTTTTTTTATTCCCTACCGAACGGAGCATAATGGACGGAGTGCTTACGTTTGAAGTTGGATGAAATGGCGTAAAAATTACAGTAATAAATAAACCTTCGATTGATTTCAGAACCTCAAAACCCTAAAATCAGGGGATTTTCTTTCCATTTTCATTCATGGGCTTTATCAGAAGTTCAAAACCCTGAGCAAAACTCAACAAGATGTCAATGCAATTCTCATCTCTTTCACTACCCGTTTCGGAAACTTACGTCGTACGACCCATCTCGTTCTGTCCAAGCGGCCGAAAAATCATCCTCTCGGCCACAGCAGTTCGCTGCTTCCCGGTAACTATTGCTTTGTTAACTTCTCTGTTTGGTTGCCGAGAAAGCTGAAAAAAAGTACAATGGAGTTTGAATTTTAAATTTTATGATCGATGCTGTTTTGATTCTAAATTGTTGCAAATAGTCGTTTATGTAAAATCTCTAGTTTTTATGCTCTTTTTCTACAATTTATCGTGAATTAAACGCTGAATCATGTTCTAAGTTTTTCGATGGTCCAATCATGTTTGATTTGTTGATCTATTTTTTTATTTTTTTATTTTTAATAAGTGATTTGTTGATCTATTTTATTGCAAAACGTTGGTTATTGACTAGTGAATCTAAGCACCAGATGTTTGAATTGGAGGTTTTTGATGTTGATGTTGTATTGTTGTTGTTGTTTTATTTTTATTTATTCAACTTTGAAATGATAGAATTGAGGCTTTTGATGATTGCCTTAATAGAATTAAGACTGTATTTAACATTTTGTGATTGAGCATTAGTGATCCTGTTGCTATACACATTGAAAATATTTTTGTGAGACTTTCATTTGTTTTTTAAATTCAGTTTGACCGTTCTTTCATTAGATACAGTTTGAAAAATGGATTATAATACACATTCAAGCAGTTTTACTATAAAGTTTAAATTTTCTGTTATTGATGTGTTCATATTTTCAATTATGAAAAAAAAAAGATGTGTTCATATTTTCACACATATCAAACCAAGATGAACAATTTTTTTTTTTTTACTGGACTTGCTTTCATCTTTATAATATTTACATCTTTTAGATTTTTTTTTTTAAAAAAATTTTTGTTTTCCTTTTTGTTTTGATACTAGTGGATGGCATGCGAAATTTGCATGTGAGTTATAAACTTTAGAGTTATTTAAAACTAAGTATATTATTATCTTAGCACCAACTTTGAAACATATTGGAAAAAGTAGCTTTGCTCTGTTTCTTCCACATTATATGATTTACACATTCTCTACTTTTTGAACATTGTGAGTAGAACCATTAATTGTTTTAATCAGCCAATGTGGCAAGTAAACTATTATAGTTAATTGAAAAACTTCTGAGTTCTCATAATTTATATTGTGGATTATCAATATTGGGTGGTCATGATACTCTCTATGTACCTTACTGTTTGGTGTATGTAGGTTGCATCAAGCCATTTACCTTTGGCAATAGATGGCAGCCATGAGCTCAGTGGAAGTGCCTCCCAGTTCTGTCGTAGATTTCATGGCTTGAAACTTCAGATATTTAAAATTCTAAATGTTAGGCATCCCAATAGAAAACGTGAACAGGGAAATGAGTTTAAAAGTCTACATATTCAAGATAAAGATAATTCGACAGAGCATGTGGAAAAATCTGAAGGTCAAGATTCTGAAGGAGCACAAATGTTCCATTTGCCAAATGGTTAGTAATATTCTCTTTCTTCTTCTCCCTGTACGCATTTATACTTGCATATATATATGTGTGTGTGTGTGTGTCATTATATTTTTATTTTGATGCTGAGAAGAGGGAGGAAAAAAATAGATTAATATAACGTAAAATTGAATTGGTTTTCTTATAATTGGGTACCCAAGGAAAAAGTTTAAAAGCATTAGAACTTGATGAAATTACTTGGTTTTATTGAGTTTTTAATCCTGCTTCATCTTTTCTTCTTTCTTCTGGAAACTACAAAAAATATAAAACAGCCATATTAAGATCTAGTGTATTTCTAATCTATGAAACATCTTATTTGTGATTTGTATTTTCTTTCAAATTTAACAATAAAATTCTGAAACTTCTCATAATTTATGTGGCTTAAGATACAGACTCCAATGAAGGACCGAAGAAGACGGCTTTACAGCCTGGAGAAAGTTCTTTACTAAATTTTCAACCTGATGTTTCCACTGGCGTAGCCACATCCATAGAATCTCCTTCATCCTTCCCAAGAACTGAAGAGGTAATGCAGACAAGTTCCCAGACTGAACTAAGTTCTGTACCTAATTCTAAACCTGGTATTTCCACGAGAGGAGTTACTGCCATGGAATTTCCACCTTCGCCTCAAACTCACTCCTTCAATAATGATGACAAGGGTGGTCGACCACCCTCTCTTTGCATAGCTGTCATTGGAGCTACTGGTGAACTGGCGAGGAGTAAGATTTTTCCTGCACTATTTGCTCTGTATTACAGTGGCTTTCTTCCTGAGGTAGAACTACTTCAATAATTTAATTGCAGTAGTTTTTTTTTTTTTTTTTTTCCTTCCAGTTGAGCTTACTTTCTTAACTTGTATGAAATATTAACTGGTATTTCTAAATATGTCATTCACTATTGTCATTTTCAATTTTCTTTTATATATGTCTCATTTCTATGATCATTATGTTGAATATTGAGTGTATCTTGGACTCCTTTGCTGTATCCTTATATGTTACCGCTGCTGCTGGTGCTGTTGTTTTTTTGTTTTTGTTTTTTTCTCCTGAAGAGGGCGTTTGAGCCAGTAAAGTTTGTCATTTACTTGAAAATTTGATTTTATTATGTTTGAGTGATCCTTAAAATGAATAACTTGTAACCGAACAATATCATAGGTTATTCTGTGAAGGTGGTTTGATAATTTACAAATAAGAGTATTGGTTGGTTGAACAGAAATCCAAAAATAGAACTCCACTTAATCTTCTAGGACAGCTATGCTCCCTACTCTAGTTGGCCACTATGTCCACGTCTTATTACTTTAAACTCATATTGAATTTCAAGCCTCTCTCCAGAAACTCAAAAGATTATCTGCATGAATCATGAGTAAATTTAGTCTAGAGATGACTGGTAAATCAAAATTTGGGCTTTGAGATGCAAAATGTAAGAAAAAATATAAGGGGATGAAAAATACTAAGAAAAACAAGGTTTTATAGTTTTGGGTTGAGGCAATTAACATGATTTTGATGTTGAAATAGAATTAGATACTTTATGAATTGGATCGACAATTTGTTTTGCCAACAATATATTGTAAAATTTCCAGCCTCACTTTTGCTTTAATGGCTGCAGAATGTTGGTATTTTTGGTTATTCGAGAAAGAATTTGAAGGATGAAGATCTCAGATCCATGATAGCATCAACTTTAACTTGCCGCATTGATCATCAGTACGGTCCTCGTTTCAGATAATCTTGAATTATTCTTTTATGTTTCCTCATAAACAAATTTCTTATTTAAACCCTTCAACTTATTAATTTCCAGAAGAAAATTGTGGCATGCATCAAAATTCTGTAGGTTGCTTACTTTCCATTTGGCTTGCGGAGCAGATTAAAACTTGTAGCTGATAGATTTTGCAAGAGTCTATAATTTTGTGCATTTAATCATTTCATTAAAAACTTTCAACAGAAAGAGATTGCCCTCTTTCAACTTTCTGAAAAAGATAAAAATAATCAGTAGCATTGTGGATGGCTTGCATAACTCCTGGCTTGTCCTTATATTTTGTGGGTGGAAGTGTTTTACTTTACTATAACATTGAAGTGCATACAGCCAGAAGCCAATTAGCTAATTAGTTGAGATTCAAGTGCAACAGCAAACTACGTCTTCAATCTATTTTTTGTCTTTTAACACAAATCCTTATTGGATTTTTGGTGTATACAGAGTGGCGCACACACACACATGCATAATTGCATATATAGTAGTTTTATATTAAATGTTCAATTTTTATTAACCAATAATAGAAAATATTACTCTGCTGAAGGCAAAATTGTGAGGACAAACTGGATGCTTTTCTTAGTAGAACATACTATCTGAACGGAGGTCATGACAACATGGAAGGGATGTCAAAGCTCCATACCCGGATGGAGCAGATTGAGGTAATCTTAGAGTAAAAGAGATCAGGTCAATAGTTTGGAGAACCACCTGATGCTCGATCAGCCTCTAATAAGTCCTAATTGTACAGTTTGGAGGCTTTTGGTAATTGATTCTTTAACAGCTTGCTTACCTCAGGGGCAATCTGAAGCAAACAGAATATTTTACCTTTCTGTGCCACAAGAAGCACTTCTAGATGTTGCATCCTCTCTTGCTGATAATGCTCAAACACAGAAGGGCTGGAATCGTGTAATAATTGAGAAACCCTTTGGTTTTCATTCACTGTCTTCTCACCAGTTGACTCAATCTCTTCTTTCCAAGTTCCAGGAGAAACAATTGTATAGGTGGGAATGCACATTACATGTACATTGTATACACACACACAAAAAATTATCCACAATTTATTAAAAATTGATTTGACACAAAAAATCCTGTTCATAAAAAATACGATTTAAAATAATTTTTTTCTTCAGGATAGATCATCTTTTGGGAAGGAACATTATTGAAAACCTCACTGTTCTAAGGTTCTCCAATCTAGTTTTTCAGCCACTATGGAAACGAACACACATACGCAATGTGCAGGTATGTTTCCTTTTGAGAATTGAGCCCAACATTTGGCTCTAAAGACTATATCTGAAATTTTTGCTATTTGCAGATCATCTTTTCAGAAGAGGGTATGACACATGGAAGGTAATCATAGTAGTGGTATTCATTCAGTGGAGGAAATGCATCATGTACAAACGAATCAATTTAGTACACTCCTAATTATCTTATATTGGTTTTCACAGGTATTTTGATGATTATGGAATAATCCGCGATATAGTACACAGTCATATACTCCAAACAGTCGCATTACTTGCTATGGAGCCACCTATAAGTCTTGATGGTGAAGATATTCGAAATGAAAAGGTGTGGACCTTTCTTTCGCAATGAACACGTAGTATACCAATACGAATGTATCTAGTAGTGTTGACATTTGACAAGAAACTTCTTCTCAGGTCAAGGTTTTGAGATCAATCAGGAAATTGGAACTCAGTGATGCCATTATTGGCCAGTATAAAAGTAGCTCTGAAGATAAGGTTGATGCTTATTCGAACGGTCTTAACCCCACATTCTTTGCTGCTGTTTTGTTTATTGACAATGCACGCTGGGATGGTGTGCCTTTTCTGATCAAAACTGGCATGGGACTCGTCAAAGACAGGTAGGTTTTATTACTATTGTATGAATGTCGGTAATGTTATTAGATCCTACTGCATGACTGCTCAAAGTATCAGATTTCAGTACACGACTGAAAGTTTGGGTTGATCCTTTTTTCTTTTTACTGACACTTCGATATTAAAATTAGTCCATTGGCAATTTGATCCCCAAAATCTTGATTTTGCCTGCAAAGAATGTTGCATCTTGACTTCACTAAAATGAATTTTTTGGTCATGGGATCTATATCTGGAGTTCACTAGTGATTTGAATTCTCTGGATTGGGATATTTTGCCCATAGGGAAGTTATTATTTAGCATGATTTGTTTTTTCTTACACGAAAGTTTTTGATGATCATGATAAATTAAATTATGGTTTGGGAGATGTCTGAAAGTGGATGATTGAACACACTCGAATCATAATGCTTTGATTAAGTTTGAGCGACTTACTTTGGTGCTTCTTAGTTAAATCTTTTAATATGGAGATTTAGGTGGTTAAACACACAAGTCTTTATCTTCAGATATAATGGGTAGGAAGAAGTTAGGGTGAGAGCGCCCTCATGATGGTATACTCAGGATGTTTCTTTTTTCTATTTTATTTTTCTTTATTTATTTTTTGGGAGGGGGATCCACTTGCATTATGCTTATTACTAGATAATTACTGTCTGTATATATTAACTTTATAAATTTGGTTTATGTTTGTATTAGGCTTGCATTATAGAATTTCTTCACCCATATTAACTTTATTACGTAGAGTGGAGATACGTATACAGTTTCATCATGTTCCTGGAAACATATATCGTGATCGCATAGGGCACAACATTGATCTTGCCACTAATGAGCTGATTTTACGTGACGTTCCCAATGAAGCAATCCTACTCAAGGTTAACAATAAAATTCCAGGATTAGGCTTGGTGTTGGATGCTTCAGAACTGAATTTGCTATACAAGGATAAGTAAGCTGTTTATTGCTGTGAAACTTTTGCTCCTTGTGCACATTTCCACATTTATCTCAAGACCTCATTTCCATTGTGTTAATACTTTAGGTATAATGTGGAAGTACCTGATTCATATGAGCAGCTGCTTCTTGATGTCATTGACGGAGACAACCATCTATTTATGAGAAGCGATGAGGTTACTGCTGCATGGAATATTTTGTCTCCGGTTTTGGATGAGATAGACAAGAACAATATAGCACCGGAACTGTACGAGCTGGGGGGTAGAGGTCCAGTTGAAGCCTTCTATCTCTGGGCAAAACACGGGGTTCGATGGGTAGAAGACTAGCAAAACTCACAGATTTTTGTGTTCTAATCTTCACCATGGTGACGAAAAACAACTGGAACGGTCTTCCCAACATCATGCTAAATAGATGAGTGAGAAAGTGCCTTTCCTGGTAACGTTTGGTGGGGTTTATTCTGATGATCTATTGTGCTAAATGTTCATGTTCCACATACACAGATTTTCTAGGTGGTAGAAAGATTACATAATCCCCACTTTAATACGAAGAATATATGTATTGCGCCTGACAAAGGGAACTCTTGAGCTGAACTGATCCTGAAATCTGAACAGGTATGTTAGGTACTTTATTTTGATATATACTCTCCTTCAACAAATACTCCATCCATCTCAAAATAAGTGTTCCTTTTTTATAATCTAATTTTTAAAGAGAATGTTTTTTATTATTTTTTATTGTATTAACAGTGAGTGAATTACCAAATTTACCCTAATAGGGTCCAGTGATGTCAGATGTGAAAGTTTATTTTTATAGATTTAAAGTTAGAAGATTAAATTGGTAATATTATAAAAAATAAATAAATAGATAAATAACACATTGACTTTTCAAAGGGGCACACTTATTTTGGGATTTATTTTATTTTATTTTATTTTTTTAATGTTTGTAAAAAAGAGTGCTAAATCAATTGCTCAAGTAAATTGCTCTAAATTGCTTAAGCGTTGGTGTGTCAGCGTGTGGTTATTTGTGCTTTCGATTTGGATTTTTCTTGCTTATGGTTTGAATCGGATGCCAAAATTGTTGTGGATGGGGTGTTATGTGATAAGACTTGTCCGTCGGCAATTGCTTCTCTATGTTTTGACATTAATAGGGACTTGAGGCGATTTTCATCTCTTAAGTTGACTTGTGTGTGGCTAGTGTAATCGGGTGGCTCATGCTTTGGCAGTTTTGTCGCGGCCTGGGCTTGTGTCAGATCAGTTGTTGTTTTCTCTTCCTCCTTCCGTTGTCCCTTTTGCGGTGGCGGATGTTGGGTTTTAGTTGGTTGTGGTAGTTTTTGCTTCCTTTGTTGTGGTTGTCTTTGCCTTGGAAAAAAAAAAAAAAATTAATAAATAAATAAATTGCTCTAAATCCCGAAAATCCAGGAGGGGAAAAAAAGAAAAGAAATATCAGAATAAAAACCTTGCAATTTTAGACAGATCTGTTTTGGATGTACATTAGTGTCACATCAACACGAGACTACCAATTAAGCCATTGAATACATGGTCTTGACCAATCACCATAAATATATGTATGTATGTATGCATGTATGATATAGAAGGAAAAAGGGAAAACTTGGGTGTGTTGTTGTGATTGGTAGGACCATGTTGTCTCAGATTATTTAAAGAATTTTCGGTCATTCAGGGAGGAAGGTGTATTAGTCTTCACTTTTTAGGTGATGCATTTCTTTCTTTTGTTAAAAACTTAAAATGAAAGGAATGAGAGATTTTTTATATTTTTTTTTACTAGTATACCCTCATTATATAGATTGATACACAATAATTTTGACAGAAAATATTGTCAATTTATTCCTTCTTTCTTTCCTTGGGTTCACTTCCAAAGGAGTAAAAATTTGTGGGACAAGAATGATGGCCCATTTTTCTTTTCTCCTCTTTACTTCCCTTGTTGTTTTCTTCCTTTCCACCATTTTTTATACCAAACAATTTACTTTAAAATTTGTGGGACAAGAAGGAAGAAAATTTACTCATCTTTTTTTTTTTTTTTTTTTAATCTTTCCTTTGCCCTTTCTTACCAAACAATTTACACCTTTTTTTTTTTTTTGTCAAAAGTGCAAAAAAATATTTGAATTATCACCAAACGTGAAAATTATCCCCCTAAATTATCTAGGGTTGTAAATCGAATGCTCAATCTATTCCAACGTTGCAAAAATGACCTTCCCGATCACTGGATCACATTTTTCGACGTTGTTCATTCACGGGTAGGTATATTTTTAAATAATGTCTAAATTATCCTTTTGAATGACTATTATACCTTTGACAAAAGTGCAAAAAACCCTCTGAACCATCAAGAATGTGAAAAATAACCCCTGAACTATCTCGGGTTGCAAATCTAATCATGAACTATACAACTTATTTTTTTTTTTTATTATTTCAAATTATTATTATTATTATTATTATTATTATTAGTACCACTACTATTATTATTATTATTAAAACTATTTTTTATTTGATAATTTATGTATTTATTATTATACTACTACTACTATTAGTTATTATTATTATTATTATTATTATTATTTTTTAATAATTTATGAGCTTGCAAAAATTATTTATAGGTATATGGATCCATGAAATAACTAATCAATCAATTTATTTTTGTTATTGTTGGGAAGAAATCCGCACGGCTTGGTACGACACCGTTTGCTGCAAAACTAAGATGATTAAGTCAGTGACCAGTGTGGTGCCGGTCGAAGACACTCTGATGATCAAGTTAATAGGGGTTTAGAGAGAAAATAAAATCGTTGTTAAGTGGGAGTTTTTCTCATACTTTCTTTAATGGCTTGATGCCTTATTTATGGTTATCGATTGGAATTAAGTTGGTTCAATTGATGTTAATGGTTGAGATTTACTTTATCATCCGATTTCATTTATCCTGTAAATATAATGATAGCATGTTTGACGAGAAAAAGTGGTAGGTTATTTTTTTCCCATCAGTTATTATTTTACATTATTATTATTATTACTACTACTAGTATTATTATTATTATTAGTTATTATTCTTTTTATTGTTAATTCGCAGGCATAAAATGATTTACATATCTTGCAACTAAGCAATATATTTTTGTTATGACCTATTTGGTATTATGGATATTTTACATTTCTTGATATTATACAATTTTTATATAAATTAATAAGTGGGTTTTTTTTTTTTTTTTTTTTTTAAATAGTAATTTTGACCCTCTGGACTAGATTGGACGCTAAAAAAATGTGGTCCGATATCAAGAGGGTTCTTTTTACAAGGTTGACATAGATGAGGGTTCTAGTTCAGAGGGTATTTTTCACTCTATAGTTCATAAGTATTTTTTTCACTTTTGCCCACTGTTTTCAGAACTTGTATCCTTATCAATTTTAAATTTAAAGTCTGAATTCGAATTGAAATTCAAATGCGATAGAAGTTTGGCTGGGATTTGGCATTAAATTCAATATCCACTTGGATCGATCATTATATCCATGTGATCCCATCCAAAGAAGAAAGAGGAGTCAGACGACTCGTGAGGGATGATGGGTTCGTAATAGGGAATTGGGGAAAAACGCGTGGGGACGTGATGACGTACGAAAGCATTCCCATCAACATGAGCAAAGACGTCACATATATATACATATACTGTATCTATATATCAATGTCAGGTAGAGAGTATGGGCTCTGTCACATAGAGTTGGTGGGGAAACGTTAGGTTACGGGCCATATTACCCTAAACATGCAGATTCTTCTGCCACCCACCCATCGAATCAATTTTTGGAAAATGATAAACAACCTTTTTTGTTATCCTGGTGTGAAATCTTCCACAAAAACACGGCAACAGTACTGAAATTTTAATCCTGTGATACATATATATATATATATATTTGTATTTTTCTGTTTCTATCGATGCACTAAAAACCTTCCCCGTTTGAAGAGGAGATATTATAATTTGTGTAGAATATTTGATAGGATTTTGTTACCAATTAATGTGAAAAAAGTTACACTTATTTCACATTATTAATTAAAATTACACAAAAAAAAATAATTATATGATTATCTATAGAAAGTAATGATAAAAAATTACATAAACCAATTGAAATTATCCGAATTTCATATTTCAAATAAGTTGAAAATATTTGAAGAGAAAATTGAAATTAGGACGTCACCATACGTGCTTGGGTGTGTCCGCGCACCTTCGGGAAACCGTGACTCTTCCTCTCTCTCACTCTCTGTATATAAAGCAGTCTCAACTGCAAGTAGTTCACCAGTCAACAAGCAAACATTATGGTACTCTTCTTTCTCTCTCTAACCTTTTGCGTTTCTTTGGTGCATTACATATAAGTTATATAACAATTTGTTTTGTTTTTGTTTTTGATTTTGAAAGGTTATGTAAAACAATATTGTGTAGTATGGATGGGGAAAGAAGGAAGAGAAAGGTGGAGGATGAAGAAGACGAGGAGGAGAAGATGGAGAAGTTTTTTGCTCTGATCAGAAATATCCGAGAGGTGCGTTACCGAATGACCACCGGCGGCGGAGACACCACGAAGAAGGCAGCCGCAGCGGAGGAGAAGAGGGTTGCCGTTTGGAAGCCGGCGTTCATACCGGAGGATTTCATGGAGGATTTTGGTGATCTGTCTAAAGGTGGTAAGGCAGCAACCGTAGCAATGACGGCTGCAGGTCCTTCTAAGAAGAGTGAAGATGAAAATAAAGTAGAAGATAAAGGAGGTGGCGGCGGCGGCGGTGATGGCGGTGGTGGCAGCGGCTTAGACCTCAACCTTTCTCTCTAATGTTTTTAATTAGTTTTGTTACTGACCATCATTGAGGCTGTACTGGTCCATTACAGATTTATAAATTCAAAATGACTAATTTCTGAATTTAATATGAAATAGGGATCTATCTCCTTGATCATTTTCACAGAAATTGCATTTCATACCAACCTTTTTTTTTAATCATGGATGCAAAATTAGTTGAATTACCTCGATCTATGGTTCTATATATAACATATCAAGCTTATATATCAAGTGAAATTGATATGTTATATACAGCAGCATAGATCGAGTTTACAGAAGAATCATTAATGAAATTGATCGAATTTACTTGAAGAATCATTAATGAAATTGGTAGATACTGCTGCATATCTATTTTTATATAATTAAAATGTCTATTTTTATACAATTAAATTTTTTTTTTCATCCGGGCCTAATATGAGACAAGAATGCATATCTATTCTTGCACGATTTTTATCCGAACCTCTGACACTGTCTTCGTATTGTTTTGTCATACTAAAGTGAAATGGAGTATATGCACTATCTTGTAACTAATACAATAATGGTGTGACCAACAAGGTCCCACAGAGTAATCCTCTCCGTAAGACACTTGAACTCCCTACGGAGGAGTTGGTCCACTGCTGCTATCATACTTACGAAGAGGTGCGTTGGTTGTCTGCCTCTTATGGTCCGTTTGGATGACGATAACGTTATATGTTATGTTTTGGTATGATATAAAAACAATCGTTTTGGAATTGATATATTTTTATAAAAATTATATATATGAATACAAAAAAATTGTAAGTTTATATGTAAAATAGTCCATTTTTCTTTATGATTTGAGATAATTTGTGAGAAAAAAAAAAAAAAAAAAAATTCTGCATTAGAGTTAGGAAATTTTTTTTGGTTAAATTTACATGTATAATGGCAACCAAACTACTTTATAATAATGAATAAATCTGCATAAATATGATTAATGGCAACCAAATTACAAATCTAACTTTGTAATAATCTTTCAATGAGTTGCACTCCATTTATCTTTTTCTTTTGGCTTGCATTCCATTTAACTTTGTTTTGTTTCATATATATATATATATTCATGATGAATGTGAGAGAGAGAGAGAGATCCTTGTAGTTGAAACTAACAAGAAACAAAGTCAAAACGTTAATCGTCTTGAATTGGTCAGAGTTGAAATTTGGTGAACATCGAAGCTTGTGAATAGTTTTACTTCACTTAGATTAGTTTGAAATTTTGTAGTGGAGGTCTTTTAAATTGGTAATATTTTTTTTTGTTTAGTCATAGGACCATTTCCTCTTTTGTTGAGTATTTATTTTGATAACGGACTTGTGTATATTTCATACAATATCCAACCACAAGCAGAATTGATAAATATGAATAAAGATTAAAAGCAAGCAATTAAGGAAGATCCCTCTTATAAGACTGAATAACATTCACATATATACTTCCACGTATAGTTTTGCTTTATACATCACAATCTTAAGAACTTGAGTGTTGCACCATTCACATATATACTTCCACATATAAGGAGCTAGACATTCCTTTAAAATAGTATATGTATACACACACACACACTTCATTACACTTACATAAAATATATACACAACTGGAGATCACTAATATTCATTCCATAAAATGTACACCCACTTTTTTATACTTACATAGGCCTCCATTTGATTAACTTAGAGATCACTAACTTTCTGGAGTTGCAGCAACTGGAGAATGCTTCCTATCAATCCCACTGGTGCCACTGCCTATAACTTACTGCCATGTCCTTCAATGTAGTAGCAAAAAATAAATTTGAATGTAAAACAAGACATTACCTATAGTAGCAAAATATAAAGCAGAGTTAAATTCAATTTTTTTTTATTATTTTTTTTAAAAATCCGGCATGACTTCTCCTTAAAAATGGACATTTCCAAAATTTCAAACACAATAAACTCAAGGGACACCGCCCACAAAATTAATTCAATAAGGGACACCGCACATAAAATTCATTTAATAAGGGACACCGCCCACAAAATTATTTCAATAAGGGACACCGCCCACAAAATTCAATTAACAAGGGACACCGTCCACAAATTTAATTCAAGCAAGACATATCTAACCTTCTTTCTGGCTAAGCTGCAAATTTGGAGTGTAAATGATCTCATGCAAAACAAAACACATGAACAACATTAGAGAAAAACAAAATAACACACGGTAGGAATGAAATAATTAGAAGTAGTAAACAAGATATATCTAACCTTTTTTCAGGCTAAGCTGCAAATTTGGAGTGTAAATGACCTCATGCAAAAACAAAACACATGAACAACATTAGATAAAAACAAAATAACACACGGTAGGAATGAAATAATTAGAAGTAGTAAACAAGATATATCTAACATTTTTTCAGGCTTAGTTGTAAATTTAAAGTGTAATTGACCTCATGCAAAACCAAACACATGAATAACATTAGAGAAAAACAAAATAACACACGGTAGGAATGAAATAATTAGAAGTAGTAATAAGATATATCTAACCTTTTTTCAGGCTTAGTTGTAAATTTAAAGTGTAAATGACCTCATGCAAAACAAAAGACATGAACAACATTAGAGAAAAACAAAATAACACACGGTAGGAATGAAATAACTAGAAGTAGTAAACAAGATATATCTAACCTTTTTTTTTTTTTCTTCTCTAATGTTGCAAATAGAGTGTAAATGACCTCAGTAGCAAATTTTACAAATGCCCTAAAGCTTACTCCCAAAATGACAGAGAAGAGAACACAACAGCAACTAATACGCAGTTCAAAATATACCATTTAAGTATATATTACATACCAAATGAAACACAGGAAATTAACTAAATACGTATTACATGTCATATATTACAAAAGATGGAAGTTTATCTAACTTCATCTTTCAATAACAACGATAATGAGCAACAAGAGGACAATAACAATAAACATGATTGTGATAGCAAGACATCCACAACCTAGGAAGAGCATGTACTTCTGTCTACATTGTTCATTTTGAATCATTGCAATGACTCTGTCCAAGTCAGATTGAACCTGTTCTTTAACTTTTGCACCTTGGTGCAACTCATCCACCCACATAAATGCATTAATATGTGACTACAAGAAATATAAATTATACAATTAGGAAACAGTAACAGAAATAGCACCTAAAAGTAATTGACCATACCTCCCGAGCTGAACACCTATAGAATTGTCAACCATCATTTTTTGGAGTTCGAGCCCTATACAGATGCATAAGACCTCTACCACATGCACATTGTGGTCGCTCACCTTCAAGCCTATACATAAGTGCGTCTACAAGTACTAAAGTATTTAATATTTGATGTTCTAATATAATTAGTTATTACAGTTATCCATAAATAAGGAGCATCTGAGTTTAATTTACGTAATATAATTAGTTATTACAGTCATCAATATTTTAATTCTACACATTATTAGACAGTTTTATAATTAGTGATTACAGTGCTCCCAAATTAGGTTGGCAATACCATCACGATAAATATCCATCTGTCGTATTTGTGTATTAGTAGCACTGACCACCTGAACATCGTCATCCACATCAGGTTCATTTTGTGAAGATTGAGGGGTTTCAGAATAAAAAATTTCATCAGATTCACCTTGGGATCTTATGAAATTATGCAATGTACAACAGGCAATGACAATAAGAACTTGAGTGTCAAAGTGATAAGGGGTCATTTGCTTCAATATAGCGAATCTTATCTTTACCAACCCAAAACATTGCTCTATGATATTCCTCAATGACGAGTGCCTAAAATTGTATACCTCTTCTCCACGTGGTCCTCTAGTATGTCTACGATATTCCTGCATATGGTAACGTTGACCTCAGTAAGGGGCCAAAAACCCCGGTTGATTGGCGTACCCAGAGTTGACTAAATAAAACTTACTTGTCATGTTAAGTATTAAAATTAACGTATTTGTAATGTTAAATGCACAAATATGGAAAGGTAATACTTTTACCTTTGGGTGGTGATGGAAAATTGAAATCCTCATTCTGAATGCACTCATTTAAAATCTTCGAATCATTAGCAGACCCTTCCTACCCTGCTAGAATGTATGTGAATTTCATATCAAATGAACACACGGCCGTGACATTTTGGGTCGTATCACCCTTTCTACCACGAAAGGGTATTTGTTGGTCAACTGGCACTACAACATGGATATGAGTACCATCTATGGCTCCTACACAATTCTTAAAGTATGGGTAAAACTTTGGATTGTTCTTTATCTCTTTAGGAATTTCATTCAAATTCGGGGGAACAATAATCTTAGTCCCTAACTCACAAATTAACTTTAATACAGTATGAAAGTGATATGAAATTGTGGATGTAAAGTGTTGGAATCTTTCAGCAACGACACGATTCCTTTCATTGTGAGACACGGTAAGTAGGAAAATTGCAACTTGTTCTTCTACAGTTAGAAATGTTGAATCTTTTAATCCTAACAATTTCAAGTCACGACACAATGCCCTAAAGGTATTGGGGTACATCCGAAAATTTTCATAACACCTATCTTCATGTCCATTTAAGACCTCGAATATGTAATCTTCCCCTTGTAACATGGAATCCCTACAACGTTGCTTATCAAAATGTTTATAATAGTACTCATATACGGCTGCGATCAATACAAGAATTTCCTCCTCATCATCATCATCATAAATGGTTAATATTGTCCTTATATCCATAGCTACTATCCTATTTAAGAATAAACAGAAGCAGTTATTGTAACAAAAATTAAGCAAAATGAAAAAGACATACCAAATCATACAATTATCCAGCAATAATGTAAAAGCAATAGATGTAGAACATAAATAGTTTTCCAGCATTAATTTAAAAGCAGTAGATAGAGGAATTAAATATAGTCTTCCAACAATAATGTAAAAGCAGTAGATAAGAAAAATTCATTACAGTCATCCAACAGTAATGTAAAAGCAGTTATAAAACAGTCATCCAAAAGCATATAAAAGTAAGATACCGAAGAAATCATAGAGGCTGATTCATCACCCACCCAACCTTCCTTTCATCAGGAATGCGAAGAAATATGTCCCTCCACACCTTGTCCTTACCAAACATCTTTATGATCTTAGCATAATGGGTATCATCAATCCCCACTAATGTGTTGACGATCTTAACGCACTTTTCAAGCTGGGGATCCATTTCTTTTTCTTTTTTATTGGGAGATGTCACTTTAAGCATTTCGGTAAATCGAGGTGGTTGACAACTAGAAGATGATTCTGTTATGGCTTTTGCAATTTTATCAGCTTTCGCGTTTCTAATATTAGTCAAACATTCCATCACTAAAGACATTGTTTCTGAAAAAGTTTCTTTCTTCTGTTTCTTAGCTACAGGTTTGGGAGTAGGACTGAGGTCAATAGGTCCTTCTACATTAGGTCGTTCTACATCAATCATGCCCACATTGCCCTCAGTGTTATGAATTTGAGCTTCATGTGTTGCCACTTGAGGCATTATTAGCACTTGGTGAGGTCTGGGTGGCTTTGTACAAGGATGAACATGCTTGCCAGTAGCATGTCTATTCCCAAAAATCCTTACCATCTGCTCATAATTCTTACACCCCTGTTTTTTTATTTTTTTGCCATGCTTGATAACCTATACGTTATCAGCTTACAATTATTATTATCAAACCCTTTTAATACTAAATCACTAATTACTAACTGTATGTATGGTAAATAGACACGTATTGAAATACTAACCTTCCACAATCGAACCCATCTTTCAGCTTCCAACTCAATCATTCCAGTTTCACTGTTGTACCCTACACCAGTCTCAGATAATATTTGTTTGCAATCTTTGTACAATGCTCTTATATTATTGAATTTTTGTCTACATTGGTCATTTGTGTACTTCTTTCCAGTTTCCAATAACATTGCGTCCACAATATGTGTCCACCCATTTGGATTAAAAGTCGTGCCTGTACGATTTCCTTTTCTAACCTATTCCTCCATCAAGAGTATGAATTTCTCTTGATGGGCATCACACCAAACAGTGGCATCGGCCTGTTCAACAACTACAACATCCTCACCATTGTCACCATCAAGAGAATGAATGTCTCTTGATGGGTATTGCTCAACATTGTCATTGTTCATGTCCATCTGATTATTATTAAGTAATTGAACAGTTTAATACATTGAATTGTGTTTTGACTCATAATTCAACACGTCAATGATAAGTAAAAAAGGTACTGTCTATAAAACACTTTAATAAGGGGCAAAAAAGAAAAAAAAAAAATGAAGTAAAAATGTGATAAAAATTAGTCTCCTTCCATTTTCTTCAATTCAAATTCTCACCATTTTCTTCATTTTCCAGTTCAAATTCTATTTGTCAAAATCAATTAAATCAACCACATGATTTTCTTAAAAATCAGTCTCCTTCCTCAATTTCAAAGGCAATTTCTATATAAGCTAGGTGATTCAAATTGGATAAGTTTCCATTTCTCTAGTTGATGTTCTCCTAAAGGTTGAGAAGAGCAGTGATCTCAACTTCTCTCTTACAACTGACAACATCAAAGCTGTGATTTTGGTATGTATATATTCATACAATTTTACAATGTTTCATGTATATTTTTATATCCACACATAATACATGTATACATGAAGCACTGCAAAGATTAAGATATAAAACAATTTTCAACATTTTAAAATTGTTTTTTGCAAAAATAAAACAAAAATTGTAGTCAAAATTTAGTATTTAAGGCTAGCTCTTTGTTGCAGTTTGTACACTAACTACTAGTTTAGCGTAGTCGAAATTTAGTATTTGAGGCTAGCTCTTTGTTCTAGTTTGTACACTAACGACTAGTTTGGCATATCTAAGAGCAAGGTGAAGGAAAGTGGTACATCACAGTATAACACACTGGATGAGACTCATCTGAACTGAAAAAGCACTCACGAAGAGCAAGGTGAAGGAAAGTGGTACATAACAATATAACACACTGGATTGTTCTTTATCTCTTTACGAAATTTCAAGGAAATATTATTGCAAGCACATTTCACAGAAGTAATACCTCTGGATGGCAACAATCATATTTATGTTTTAGATGTGTGCATAATATACTGAGAGAATATTCTAATCATTTAGTGCATAGTGAGTGTTCCAGTAAATAAATGTGTAATAGTATTCTTTAGGCCATTATTTAGAAACTTAATTGCAACCCTATGAATTTTTGTATAATATCAACAAATATGCAAATGTGAATTGACAAGACTTGACAAATTATTTGTGCATTTTTTTGAAAGAGATGTAAATGTTTATTCTTTTTCTTATATTACCAATGAATATTAAAACATTCAATAAGCGATTCGTTCTCTATTTAGTTATGTGAACAAAAGTTCGTGTTCCTCTTCTGTTGATTTAATTTCTTTTTTGGATTCTTTGGGGCCTTAGACCCCGGTTTCTTTTATGTCTACGGGACGAGTTCCCCTATTGAACGCCTTTTTAAATATTATTACTTATAACAAAAAAAAAATTAAATAAGGCTGTTCTTAAAGATATAAATTCAGTTTTAATGCATTTCTTGTGGAAGGGTAGTTTTTTAATGAATGTTGGTTCTAAAGTAGCTTGGGAGGATGTTTGTTACCTTAAAAAGGAAGGTGGTTTGAGTCTTTGGAGTTGAATGCTTGGAACAGGGCCGCTATGGCTAAGAACTTATGGGAAGTTGTTCAAGTGAAGCCTCAATCTCTATGGACTGAATGGGTTAAAGTTCGTCTTATTAGAAATAGAGACTTTTGGTCTATGAAAATTCCTCAAAGTAGTTCTTGGAGCTGGAGGAAAATCTTACAAATTAGAACTGACTTTAGAATGTTTATTATGCATAAAGTGGGTAATGGGACACACACTTGGTTATGGAATGACTATTGGCTCCCTATGGGCCCTATTGTGATGAGAATAGGTAATAGAGTCATCTTTGACTCAGGTTTGGGTGAACAAGCAACTGTGGCTGATATTATAGTTAATAACCAGTGGCAGTGGCCTCAAACCAACACCCTTGAGCTTATTGAGCTAAGGAATGCCATACCTTCAGATTTCCAGCCTTTCTAAATAATGATCAAGTGATTTTGTTACCTAGTAAGGGGCAGTTTACCATTAAAACTGCTTGGGAAAATATTAGACCTAAGAAAAATGTTGTTGCTTGGAATGAGACTGTCTGGTTTAAAGGAGCTATTCACAAGCATTCTTTTATCTGTTCGCTTGCCTGTTTAAATAAATTGCTAACTCAGAACAGATTACTGAGATGGGGGGTGATTTCTAGAATTAGTTGTGTTTTCTGCAGGCAAAACATTTAGGACATAGATCACTTGCTCTTCCAATGCTGCTTTACTAAGAGACTATGGAATTATGCTGTTGCTACTTGTTAGAAGCTTACTGCCCTGGCCTACTGGTAATTGGTGTACTCTTTTGAACTGGGCTGTTTTGACTCTTAGAGGAAAGTCTTTGGTAACAGTTTTAAATAAAATGGTTCTTGCTGCTTCAATCTATGTTCTTTGGAGGGAAAGGAATTCCAGAATTTTTATAATGAGTATAAAAGGAATTGATAGAGACTGTTAGACTGAAGCTATTCTCTTCTGCCAGACTTGAAGATAATCATTCTAACATAATGATTGTGCAGGATTTGGATTTGCCTGAAAGTGTTTTGAGGATCTAATGCTTTTGCTTATGTTGTGCTATCTCTTACTCTGCAGCAGGCCTGTTAGCTCTGACTAGGTCTGTTATTTTTTTTTTAGGTGCATTCTTCATAATATCAGGGCTGTCGTTTGGATTTCTTGGTGTTGTAACTGGAAGTTGTTTTGTTATCAAGATTAGTACTCTAATTCTTGTATTCTCAAGTCTTGTTCTGTTTTTTACATTTAGGGTTTGTTTTTGTTGGTTATGGTCTTGTGGAAAGATAATAGTGAAACTCCATTTTCTGTTGATATTTGAATTCCCTAGTTTAAATTTTATTCGAGGATTTACTTGTATTTATTCTTCTTTTTCAAGTCGTCTAAATTATACTGGTTTGAATGTTTACAGAACTGTGAAGCATACATGTAATACCCCTAATTTTAAAAGGATAGTCTCGGCATTTATTTATTATTTTTATTGTATTTTTGCGTGATTATTTGGTTTAATTATTTTATTTAATTGTTTACCTATGTGACATGTATTTAATTGGCATTTATTGTTTAAGTGTTTTAATTGTTTAACTGGTATTTATTGTTTAATTATGAATTTTTTTTTTTGTTAATTATTTCTTGTTTTCTGTATTTGGATTGGTTTGGTCTTTCTAATGTGTAATTGGTTTATTTAAATATTTTAATTAGATTAAATTATAGACTAAATTAGTATCAGTTACTGTATTAAACCGAGTATCTTATAACCTAGATAGCTTTATGAGCCGACAGTGAGTATAACCTAGGTTTTTATGGGCCGAGTTATACATGGATTAGGGTTTAATCATTAAGCCTATAAGTATGTGTGTCACGGTGGTTTAGGGTTTTAGAATAATTAAACGTAATTTCTGTAATAAAAAAAAAAAAAAACAGAGACCGTGGGATACAGAGGGAGAATAGAGAGAGATAGGAGAGGAAGGATAGGTGGGAGCAAGGTAGAAGGAATGTGGGTTTGTGGAACAGCAGTGGGGAATTGAACGGGAAATACAGAAACTGGGAATTTAGAGTTTCAAGTCTGAAACTCAAAGGCAACTTCTTTTCTTTCTCCTTCTCTTTGGCTCGTGTTCTGTGCACCTAGATAATCTCTAGGGTTTAATCAATCAATAACTGGAAGATATATGTTTAATATATGTCATATGAACGATCTGTTTATGTTGAAAACCGTTTTGTTACAGTTCATGCATGGCTCGTTTCAGTTTTCTGTTCTTTAAGCATGTTGCTCTGTTGAAACTATAGTCTTTGGATTATGTTTTTTGACTCTGTAAATGAACCATGGGGGTGTTATTGGGATTGATATAAGATCTGTAGGTTCAGTGGTGAAGAGGAATAGAGGGTTCAATAGAGACCTGAAAGTTTCTGAAACCTGTTCCAGTATTGTTTTCCAAGTATGCTAGTTTAAGTGGCTTGATTAAATTCTGTAATTGTTTTCAAAATTATTGTAAACAACCTTAGGGGATGCTTCTAGACTAAATTAAGACTCCTAAGATTAGTTTTAGAAACCAATCGAGTGGTAGGAACTGATCAGAGAGGGAGCAGACGGACTGAAACGAAGCAACGGGGAACAGGGCTCTCAAAGGAGGTGAGAGCCGGCTCCATGGATGTGGGAGCCGGCTCCGACAACAAGTAGAGCCGGATCTAAGGACTCCTAGAGCCGGCTCTAGGCTGAAAGAGCCTGCTCCCAAAATTTGGAGCAGGCTCCCTCTCTAATATACGATTTTATTTTATTTTTTTTTAGTTTTTAAGGTACTGTTTGGTATTCTGGGCACTGTTTGAGCTTTTGGATGTTCCTAATGGATTGTGGGGACTTTACAGAGGATTTAATTACTTGATTTTAAGTGTGATTAAACTAGTTGATGCATGGTTTAAGTCTCTAAGATAAAAGATAAAACAGTATAAAATCGTATGACTTAATACACTATTATCGGATGGGACGAAATAAATTGTTTAGGTTAATTTAGCAATTTGTTGGACTATAATAAGATTATAGAATTTGTTCTAAATGCATGATAGATTCATTGATATATTGGATTGGGTCTATGCATGCTTTGGATGCTAGTTGTGTAAACTATTAAAATGTTTCCTACAACTACATGGTTTAATTCTGGGATTTAAATTGCTGAAATCTTAAATACTTTTCTGCAATTATTTGGATGGTGCTTTTTGGTCTGTAAATTATTGAACTGCTATATATGTTGTAATTTACATGGATATAGAGGATTGTATGT